GAGTCAACGAGCAGTCCAAGTACAACAGCCTGCTATTCCCGACCCTCGTGCTGCCAACAAAGGTGCAGTCCGCCACTCTGAGCAGCCCCATGGAGCTCACGGTGGCCCACGAAAACAGTTCAACGCCAATGGCCGCTCTCACCGTGTTGTTCTCAATGTCAATGTAGCCGCCGTTCCTCACGTCAACAGCGTGAAAATAAACGGCTGATCCCATATGGTGTTTATTATCTATTGTCCTCAACGCATTTCCCTTCAAAATGATCCTGCTACCATCAACAACAACACTAAAAAAATTAAGTGAGTAACCATTCCCCTCGATGTAGTTGTCAAGCAGCAGCAGCATTGAGGTCGCACCGAGAAAAAACCTCAAAAACAAGATGGCGTGATCCGACGTCGTCACTATTGCACTGCCCGCTACCACTATCTGGGAGCCCACGCCGAAATCACCCTCAAACTCCAACGCTCCAGAATCCAATACCGAGGATGTCACGCTCACGTGCACGCGTGCATCACTCCCCCTGACCGACAGGCCCACGAGGACGCACTGCAGCAGCGTGATGTTGAGTGTCTTTTGTGGTGCGTCGAAGCTCCACAGGTCCAGCGCAATCGCGGCGGTGAAGGTCACGTTGACAAAGCACAGACCACGCACACCGGGATCAGGATCGTCCACGGAGCTGATGCTGCCACCGTGCACGCAGCGGACCTCAGCGCCCTTCGCATCGGGGAGCGGGAGCGGCCCAAGACCGTCCGGAACCGCAGCTGGCAGACACGTGTCACCGTAGCCGCCAACAGCGCACACACACTCACAGCCGCGGATGCTGCTCGTCCTCGCCGCAAAGCATACGGCGTCCACCGTGCACGCACCACAGTCCAACACTGTCACGGGTGCTCCAATATTGAGGTCGACTCTGTAATTGGTCACAGGAGAGCCCCTTAGCTCGTTGCACACGCCGTAGATGATCGGGCGAGTGTCGGATGGTGGTGACCAGTTGCTTGTCACATGCGCAATGGTCGACGAGTACGAGCCGTACGTGAAGTTGTTGTGAAGTATCGACCACACACTCCGATCGCGGAACGCCACGCCGTTCTCGTTGACCACGTACACAACGTAGGCGGTGCGGAACTCGTTGTCGCGGTGCACCAGCCAGCTGCCGTCAGCCACGCTCAGCGTGGTTGCTATGAGCATGGCAAAGCCGAGACGGAACGTGCTGGACACAACCTGCAGCACGCTGCCGCCAACCACCGCAACGTCCTTGAAAACAAAAGCACCTTCGTAGTATTCGATGCTCGGTGCACTCCACAAGCTGTTCTGTATGGAGAACACAGAGCCGCTGCCAACACGCAGGTCCGACGCAAGGGCGTACATCACGTGCGTCCGCGACAGGACAGCGCAGTTGTCCATGTAGAAGGCACTGGACAGGTTCACGCCGAGGCCGCGCTCCACGAGGATCGCAGCGCACGATTCCCCGCCACACACCACCGTCGACCGCTTCATGACAAACCGCGTCGACAGAAGCCGGACACCGTCCAGAACAAGCGCGGGGCCGTACCGGGATTTCTCGTGTCCACGGGTCGTCGGCACGTACTGCGACCCGCCAACCGTCACGCGCAGCGTCGAGTTCGCCAGCAGCACACTCGAGTGCAGCGGCATCGCACCATGCAGCACGATCGTGCCCTCCAGCGACGTCACATTCGTCATGTTGACGAGGGCGTGCGGCACCAGGCGCGCCGTGATCTCGCTGAGACCGCCAATCCGCAGCAGCGCGCCGCCCGCAAGCACGCAGTGGCGCAGCGTCACGTTCAGTGCGTCAGCGAACGCGTCCATCGAGCGCAGGTCCACCGCCACAGTGATCGGCCCGCTGAACACCACCGAGTCGAAGCACGCAGTTGCCCGCCCACCGCCAGCCGTCACCGACTCCGTCAGCGTCACGCCACTCACGCAGCCCTGCGCAGTATCGCCACCGGCCCTCGTAGGCGGCACGTCGAACGGCAGGCACGCGTCGCCCACACCGCCGGCACGGCAGCCGCACACGCAGTCGGAGAACGACGCCGTCAGCGCATCAAAGCACGCCAGCGCAGCCGCACAGCCGTCGCACGGAACCACGCTCACGGAGGGCAGGCCGGCCATGCGGTAGTCGCCGCTGCTCCGCAGCACACGGCCGCCGGCACGGTTGCACTGCACCGACACGACGCCGCTCGTGATCGTCAGCCCGGAGAAAAGCGTCGCGCCGGTGGCAGCGCAGCGCGCAATCGACACGGTGCCGCCACTCAGCGTCACACCCGACAGCGACGCCACAGACGACGCCTCGCCCACCGCCCACACGTCGTGCAGCTCCAGCCACCCGCCGCCACCGATCGTCCCACCGTCGCAGCGCACCAGCGACGACGCGACAGACCCCTCGACGCCCACGAAGCGCAGCACCGAATCAATCACCGCGAGGCGCTCGCCAAGCACAAGGCCGCCGCCGCTGCTCACAACCGACACACTCGTCACGGAGAACACCGAGTGGCTCCGCAGACTGAGACGCGACGAGGACGCCACATGCATCGCGGACGCCGTCGGACCGCCCGACGCCTCCAGCAACACGCCGTCAAGCACCACCGCGCTCGACAGCAGGTCCACGTCGCCGCCAACGTACACCGCCGACCCGCCCGCCTGCAACGACCTCAGCACAGTGTTGCTCACACGCAGCTGCGTCCGCAACAGCGACGTCGCGTGCAGCACAAGCGGCGATGCCACCGCGTCCGTCAGTCCGCTCAGCTGGGAGTAGCGCATCGGCCCCGCCGTCACAATCGTCGAGTCACGGACCGTCACGTTCGTGTGTGCCGGCAGGTTGTGCACAAACACGAGCGAGCAGTAGCCGCCGGACAGCCCGATCACGCTCACCTCCAGGCTCCGGTCACTCGCCGGCTCGCCGCTGTAGCCCCGCACGTAGATCTGCGCACCGCCGTCGCACACGCAGTTCCTCAGTTCGATGCGCAGCGCGCCGGGAAGCATCGCCGGCACGTCGAACACAACAGCCACGCCGTTCGTGATGTACACGCCGTCCATCAGCACCGCGTCTACGGCGCGGCCAACCGTGATGGCTCTGTCCACCGTGCCGCCCCGCAGTCGCACCACCACCGCATGCACCGCGGGCATCCACACAGCAGCAGCAGCAACCAGCGCCAACACAACGAGCAGCGCCGCACGCACAGTCGCAACGGCCCTGTGCAGCTCGCGGTACCGACCGCGCGGACACGCACCCACCGCAGACCGCATCCACCGTCCCAAACAGGTACCAATAGAGCTGTTGTGGCGTGTCGCACTCGCCCCGTCGACCATAACTCTTGTCTAGCAAATCCCTTCCTACAGATGCCAAATACAGTGACCCGATTCCGCCAGATCGCTATACCACTACTAATTGTCCTAATATTGCAAGTAACTCCTAACACCTTGAAACGATAGCTGTGCTGGTCAGGCAAAATTATCTCTAACTGCACGCTCAGAAAAAGAATAAGAGGCGGCAACAACAACAGTAACCAGACACAGTGGTACGCAAAAACATCCAGTCATACACAATCCCCGTCACAGTACAGCCACCGAGGCAAAGTCGCGCTGACGCAATCAAGTCAGTGACACCATCACCCTCCCACCACCCACATAACCCCACACAACCACCATGCAAAGTGGCGGAATGTCGGCAAAAAGCCACATGACCACTGGCACCGCTCCTTTTACCGAATGGCTCCATCACGGGGCAATCCCGATGCCGTGCACGACACACAAGAGCCGAGGCAGACCACGTGGCAGCGTTACAACCGGCGGCCATCAAGCGCGCCAAAGGAAGAAATGGTGACATTGAAGAGGAGTGGAGAATTCGCCGTTCGCAAGCATTTAAGGCGTCGTTCCTCCCTCACGTGGGTCGGCATTGCACAGCAAAAAGCGGCACCATAAGGGCATGCGGCACACACAAGAAGGACGAATAACGAAGAAGTACGGTGACGGCAATCAGACACGGGGGAAAAAGGGTCCACGTCGATTGTGCGACCTGTTGACTCATAGACGACCAGTTTGTAATCACGCCACTGCCCTGCAATTCGTCAGTCAGCAGTGGAGTGTAAGGATGATAAGAAGGGTGGGAGACGCAGTGCGGTCCTCATCCATCTCTGCTAACTGTGACACCGGTGACGTCATCTCGTCAGATCACCTGCAGCAAAGACCGTCACCGTCAGCAGCGGTCGGTACCTTCCTTCTTCACCGACGCAGTCGCTTGCCTCCTCCCCCACCAACACAACGGAGGAGCGGCAGCCACACGCAACTGCCAGCACCGAGTGTGAGAGGAGCAACCAACTGCACTGCAACATGTACGCCGTGTGTGTACCAACAAATACAAAAAAAAAAAAAAAAAGCAAAGCATTTGAGGACACACACAACCAAAGAAGAGTGCCAGAAAAAAAAAAACGATGAATGTTGAAACGCAACACTGCACGGCTGCCCACGCCGTGGCGAGCCGCGGGAAATATGCTAAAAAGTAAAATAAAATAAAGTTAAATACGTCTTCCATTATGCATTCACTCAACGAAAAACTGCACGCTGGTGCGTGGCCTCCAAATCGGTGCGTTTGTTTCGCCTGCAGATAATAAATAAATAAATAAATAAGATACACTCGTTACAGTCGTTTAAATCCCCGGTGCCCACACATTATTTATATTCCACTGGGACATTCGGCGTGGTTTCGTGTCCCCATTCCATTGTCTCTTTTATTAGCCGGCGCCATAGGCGTGGCGCACAGTGCCGAGCGCGCCTCTGGTCACTAAAAAAAGAGAAAAAGCACTGAGTGAATCCCGTAATTGTCGGAGGAACACAACACAAAAGAAAGGAATAAAACAAAAACCCCGCGGTGTAGTCCCCGGAGGAAGAGCATGCTTCCACATGGAGAAAAAGCCCTGCACAGCAAGAAGGGCGCAAAGTAAAATAAAATGGTTAAAACAAAGTGTCCACAAAAAGTGGTAATTATTTAAAAGAGCGCGTGGCCAGACGCATATGTTCCCGCTAGAGGCAGGAAGTCGTCGCTGCGATTTCTCAGTAAAGGGCCACAAAGGCGCACAGCAGCAACTGCGACACGCCCCCCACGCATGGAGCCGTCACTGTTACCTTTTTTGGCGTCGCTCTTCTTGACCATTTTTAGTTCACCGACACTCAGTGGGCGGTTGTACAGAAAGACGCTCGTCACTTTCAC